TTGTGATGTAAGAAGGGGACTAGGATGTATGTTGTGCTTTAGGGGCTGGAAAACAGGATGGAAGTGCCATTCTGACATTAGTCCAAAGTCTGTCAAGTTACTCTTAAGTAAAAAATTAAGGAATGACTGAAAGGGAGAAAGAAGAATACTCATCCTAAGAATTTCTCACTTTTTTAAAGGGAAAAAATAAGAATAAAAGTAGAAAGTAGATTTGGGTATGTTTATACATGTGTGTTAAAGTTCAAGTCCAAAAACATCTGGCTCTAACATCTACAAGTGACTTCTTCAAAGTAGAATGCATTTTAACCAGATGCTGCCATCTACTGGACAACATATAAGAACTCTGCGCTTGCCTGATTTAAAAAAAGCATTCATGGAGAGACACAGGGCAAGAGATTTCTGTTTTTCTGTTTGCATCATAAGCCTGAAGAAACAGTAATACAATAAGATTGTCTCTTCATTTTGGTGAATTGGTCAAGTGTTAGCTAATCAAAATGGATGGTAACATTTGGTTCACCTCACTGTCTTTTATTCCCGTTTCTTGTATATCAACCCTATTTATGTATCTTATCTGCTTCACCAATACATAATAAGCAATTTTATAAACCTTATAAATAATAAATACATATAATTTAAATGAAATGAAGGTAAACATAAATAAATCTCATTAATCTTATCTGCTTTGCCAATATGTAATAACTAAGAATTCAAAATCTAAAAAATGAAACTCAAACTCCAGCTTTCAGCTTATTAAATCCACCTAATTTCCATGTTAGAACATTAGTACTAATCTAACATGAGTGTAACTATCTATAGGGCCTATAGCAGTCATGTGACTCCAGAGATACAACAGTGAGCTCTACAGGTTTAAGGCAAATATACATGTCATGATCTTTAAAAATTAATGTATTTGATGTTCTGACTTAATTTTGAAGGAAGGGCAAAAGTTTTGCCCTCCCAGGCCAAAAGTTCACTTGGTAGTGAACTCTGACTGAAAAGGTTAAAGCCAAAAGGCCACCATTGATCCTTTCATTTATTGCCTCATCCATTAGCTCTACTTTCTAAAATACTGTGTTTCCCTGAAAAAAGTATACACACTTTGAATAATTATTCATCCCAATGGGTTAAATCTAAAGAGAAAGAAACATCAACTGAGCTATCAGTTGTTAAAAGTGTGCATACATTTTGGGGGACATACGCTGAAATGCTATAGCATCCAGAACCTCATTCCTGACATTGTCCATGTTTTTTATTTGGAATAGCGGTGGAGAATCAGTGCTATGAAGGTGAATTACAGACAGACATGAAAGAAAATATAAGAAGTTTAACTTTTCGAGACAGATTATCTTCATACAAGTCTTTAGACATATAAGTTAGTAAAAAAGCATCTATATATATAAAAGCCTAATATGCTAAGTGTCCGACCGATCGACCAGTCACTATGATGCACAGTGACCACCAGGAGTCAGATGCTCCAACTGGTAGGTTAGCTTGCTGCTGGGATCCCATTTGGGACTGCGCAAGACGCCCTGATCAGCCCCGATTGCTGGCCAGGCCAAGGGACCCCACTTATGCATGAATTCATGCACCGGACCTCTAGTTTTTATCAGAAGTGCTTTGCAGTCTTTTTTCTTAAATAATGTAGTCATTGCTGAACAGCTCTCAGAGAGGGAAAAACATGTTATTCAAAAAGAAACTTTCTGAAAAAGACAATATACCTGCTCTAATAAAATGCATTACAAAGCTATAATAATCAAAACAGTGAAATACTAATATCAGTGCAGACAGAAATATTAAGACAGACTAAGAAGAATACATCACTTCCAGCCGAAACCGGTTTGGCTCAGTGGATAGAGCGTCAGCCTGCAGACTGAGGGGTCCCGGGTTCGATTCCGGTCGGGGGCATGTACCTGGGTTGCAGGCACATCTCCAGTGGGAGATGTGCAGGAGGCGGCTGATCGATGTTTCTCTCCCATCGATATTTCTAATTCTCTATCTCTCTCCCTTCCTCTCTGTATAAAATCAATAAAATATATTTTTTAAAAAAGAATACATCACTTCTGGGGTATTCTTGCCAAAAATGCATAACCTCCATCGAATCAAGAGAAAATATCAGACAAACTTAAGTTGGAAGATATTTTATAACATAACTGACCAATACTCTCCAAACATGTCAAGATCATAAAGACAAGGAAAGACTGAGGAACTGTTACCGACTGCAGAAGACTAAGGGGACAGGACACTAAATGCAATATGGGATCCTAGATTGGATACGAGAAAGTAAAGAGGACATTTGTGGGAAAACTGATGAATTTTAAGGTCTGTAGTGTAAGTAATAGTATTATACCAATGTTAATTTCTTAGTTTTGATCATTATACTATGGTTATACAAGATGCTAACATTAGGGAAAGCTGGATGAGAAGTATACTGGAGCTCTATATATTATTTTGTAACTTTTATATAATTTTAAAATTATTTCAAAATAAAAAGTGTGGGGTTTTCTTTTTTCAACAAAACAGAGGCATAAAACAATGACCATTTTATTATGCCCATGATTCTGTGGGTCAGTAATTTGAGGGACACCACAGGAACCATGTTCTCTATTCCATCATGAATGGGGCCTCCGCTGGGTTGGCTGCATTCTACTGGGATCATAGTCTACCCTTGGCTATTCTGTAAATGGTATTTGCTAGAGAGGAAATGTCCAAAATTGTTCCTTCATTCAGATGTCTTGTGCCAGCACTAAGATAGCTGGAATAGTCAGTGTATTAGTTTCCTAGGGCTGCTATAACAAATTACTATGGGCTGGGTGGCTGAAAACAACAGGAATTTATTCTCTCGTAGTATTGGAAGCTAGAAATCTTAAATCAAAGTATTGGCAGGGCCATGCTCCCTCTGAGGTCTCTGGAAAAGAATCCTTCCTTGCCTCTTCCTAGCTTCTTGTAGCTCCAGAATCCTGGTGTTCCTTGGTTATTCCAATCTCTGCCTCTATCTTCACATGGCCTTCTTCCCTGTGTCATTGTTTTTCTGTCTCTATTAGTCTTTTCTTTTTATAAGGACACCAATTATTGGATATAGGGCCCAGTCTAGTTTAGTATAACCTCAGCTATACTAATAAAAGGGTAATATGCTAATTAGACCGGGAGACCAGACATCTTCCAACTGTCTGACTTCCTTCCAGACAAAGCCATGGTGGTGGGGGCCAAGGCAGAGGTGGTTAGGGGCCATGTGGCCAGCAGGGGAGGGCAGTTGGGGGCCATGAGGCCAGCAGGGGAGGGCAGTTGGGGGTCATGAGGCACAGGCAGATGAGCAGTTAGGAGCCAGCAGCCCCGGATTGAGAGAGGGATGTCCGACTGCCAGTTTAGGCCTGATCCAACAGAATCAGGTCCCGGATTGTGAGAGGGATGTCCAACTGCTTATGCAAGATGGGGCCTAAACCGGCAGTTGGACATCCCCTGAGGGGTCTTGGATTGGTAAGGGTGCATGCCAGGCTGAGGGACCACCCACCCCTCCTCACGAATTTCATGCTCTAGGCCTCTAGTCTTAACTAATTACATATGCAGAGATCCTATTTCCAAACAAGGTCACATTCTGAGGTTCCATGTAGACATAAATTTTGGAGGGACTACTAAGCTCACTATAGGCAGAATTGGTCAGCATCATTCTCTCTCTGCATGAGATAGACCCAAGCAACTTCTGAGCTCTCAATGCTGGGGCAGGAAAGGAATAGGCCTAAAGGAATTTCATCCACATCAAAGTTCATGCTAAAAAGTTGCAGGTTCCTGGGATTCTAAAGTGTTAGACACTCCTTTTGTTAAAAAAAAAAAAAAATGGGTTCCACGATTCTCAGAGAAATCAAAGGTCCCTGCTTAGAGCCAGTCTAATGCCCAAGCAATACTAGATGACCACTTATGTGATACTAGAGGCCCAGTGCACGAAACTCAGGCACTCGCGGGGGTGCCTTAGCCTGGCCTGTGCCCTCTCACAGTCCAGGAGCCCTTGGGGGATGTCTGACTGATGGCTTATGCCCGCTCCTCCCAGGGAGCAGGCCTAAGCCAGAAGTTGGACATCCTTAGCGCTGCCACAGAAGCTGGAGAGGATCCCGCTACGGCTGCTGCGCTCGCCAGTTGTGAGCCCAGCTTCTGGCTGAGCGGTGCTCCCCTTGTGGGAGCGCACTGACCACCAGGGGGCAGTTCCTGCATTGAGCATCTGCCTCCTGGTGGCCAGTGCGCATCATAGCGACCAGTCATTCCACCATTCAGTCGATTTGCATATTAGTCTTTTATTATATAGGATAGGTTAAACGATTTCAAAAGTTTCCTGCCAACAAATACCAACAGCTTCCCAAATCCCTAAAATTTTCACCACTATATACCAGGTAAGTAAGTTAAATAGATTACATGACTCTATAATAGTTCTATATAAAAAATAAAAATAAATAAGAAGGAGGAGAAGAAAAAGGAAGATGAAGAGGAGAGAAATCACAAATATACATACACACAAGGGAGGAAATAGAAACATGTCTGCAAAATTAATGGACTGGTCTCAAAAGAGCAGGTTTGTTAGAGAACAAGAAATAGGACAAATCAGTAATGGAATTTTATGAAAGGGGTTGCAAAGGCCTGAGTGAGATACTTTGTGGGAGGATCCTAGGCCATTAGGGAACTGTCTGCATAAACTGGGTGTCTAGAGGTATCTAAGACACACTGGAAGTAAAGGCAAACACATACTTTGTCTTTTTCCCAATTTTTCACTGCCTTGTCCCCCTACCCTTGAGCTCCTTGTCCCCCTACCCTTGAGCTCTTAAAATATAAGCTCTTAAAAATTCTGAAACATACCTAACCTTAAAGTAGTTCCATATAATCCTACCTAATGTGATAATTTCCTCTAATGAAGGGTTAAACTCATGAAAAAATGAAAAAATAACTGAATTGGGAATTTTACCTTAATGCAAATATTCTGACTGAGATAAAAATAAAGATGAATTAATTTTACTCACCAACAGTTTGTTCTGATGCAGCAGTCAAAGCTAGAAACTTTTTTGTATTTTCCATTTCTTCATTACTTGGCAAAGCTTCCCTATGTTTTGCAGACTAATGAAAGAGAAATTAAAGTTTAAATATGAGAAAAGAAAGCAACATCGGCCCTTGCTGGGCAGTGGTTAGAGCCTCAGCCCAAGGACTGAAGGGTGGCAAGCTTAATCTCACATGCAGGAGGCAACCAATCACTGTGTCTCTCTCACATCAATGTTTCTCTCTTTCTTCCTCTCCCTTCCACGCTTACTAAAAAATCAATGAAAAAAGTATCCTCGGGTGAAGATTAACAAAAAAAAAAGAAAGCAACATTGACATTTTGTTAAATTTCAACTTGGTTTCCAATCTTGTTCATACAAACAATAAGATTTAGGTCATTTTTATTCCTTTAATTAGGAATTCTATTGTTGCTTCCTGTCCCCACAAAATTCTGTCAAGTATTCCCAAATTGAGTCAGATATAAGGTCCAACATTATATCATAAATAGGGGCCCAGTGCATGGATTTGTGCACTGGTGGGGTCCCTCAGCCTGGCCTTCGGGGGTTGGACATAAACTGGTTCTCTGACATCCCTCAAAGGGTCCTGGATTGCAAGAAGGCGCAGGCCAGGTTGAGGGACCCCATCAGTCATGATCGGGGTCAGGGAGGGACTGCAGAGGGGCTCTAGGGTGTGCCCGGCCATTCTCACCCCTTCCCGAATGGGGCCAATCAGGAATGGCCAGGGAGGGATCTTAGAAGGTTGGCCAGCAGGGAGGGACTACGAGAAGGCTCCAGGGCATGTCCAGCCCATCTCACCCAGTCTGGATCCCAGACCCCAGCAGCAAGCTAACCTACCAGTTGGAGCGTCTGCTCCCTGGTGGTCAGTGTACACTATAGCAACTGGTCAGACACTTAGCATATTAGGTTTTTATTACATAGGATTACCTTACTTAAATTTGCTTAAGTTTCTGTTTAATATTTCTTTAACTAATGAGTAACCTAAAAGTACATTATCAAATTACAATTTCAGGACATTTCAAGATTACTACTGTATTTTATTATGTTTCCAGTTGTAATTCTTGTTTCCAAGCAAGTAAAAAATCTGCTTTGAAATTCAACAGGAATAAGTGATAGGTAAATTTTTTTCTGTTAAAATTTACACTAATTATTTCTCTAGTTTAAAGCACTGCATTTTGTAGGTTCCTTTCTTTCCATCCCAGTGGTCTTCCTGGGAACTTATAAAAATATATTCTTAGTTACCATGTTGTTTATTCATATTATTGTCAGGAAAATTTCCTCTGAAGTTACCTCATTTGATCAAGGAGAAATTTATCAAAAACAACCAGTTATTTCAATGTCCCTACCCGAAAAGTTCTCTCCTTTGAGAGGGAAACTTAAGTGCAAGCCAACAGCTATATATCAAGTCAGTGCCAATATCTGGTCAATATCCACCCCTCAATACTATGGAGAATAAGAGGTCAGAGAAAGCCAAGGAAAGTTAATCGAGCACTAAAAATACTGAGACAGAAGCAAAGAGAGGTGGTCCCAGACCTCAAGCACTTTAAAACTTCCTGAGGAGATCTTGACCAGACTATGAAATGACTTCCTCACTTGTTGTTCACAAAAGTTTACTCAAATAATAATTAGAAACAGGGGAAACTAAGATGGCGGCAGAGGTAAACACCGGGAAATTGCTGCCTCCCACAACAACTTCAAAAATACAACGAAAAGACAAAACGGACATCATCCAAAACTACAGGAAGGCTGGCTGAGTGGAAATTCTATAACTAGAAGAAGAAAAGCAAATGTATTAAAGAGGGAAGGAGGTGCAGAGGTGTGTGAAAGGGGCTGGCAGCTGTGTACGCTGTTGTCTTTTTCACACGGGAGGGAGATACAAGTTCCCGACTGCTCTGAACTCCAGTTCCAGGTGAGAATTTGGGAATACAGACTCTGATGG